CAGAAAAGTGAAGACTAACCAAATTACTCAGTCTGTACTGAAATATATTGCCATCACACACATATAATTAAAGTATCTGGATAAGAGAAAAATAAATAGGTTTGACTTTTTCTTTCTTATATTTATAGTTGTACTTTATGGTTTATAAAGTATTTTGACACTCGTTACTTCTCTCAAGCTATACAGTTAACTATAAAATAAGTAGAAATTATCTACATTTTACAAAGAAGACTAGGCTTCAAGGAAGTTAACTAACTTGTCCAAAATACAAAAATTTATCAAAGACCTAACTGAGAGCACATTAGCAGTTGTTTTAGGAATTTATTTGGTGATTGGGGAGAAAGTGGGAAGAGCAGTAGAATCCCTTTTACAAATGAAATCTTATATTGAGCTTGAACTATGAAGTACATAAATAGATAAAACCATTATTTGTATGTCTTCTTGTGTCGAAGTAACAAGTACTGATAATAATAAGTTTTTGTTCTCACAAATAAAAATTTAACATAGAGGATATGTACAGAATTGAATTTTTATTAAAGGCCAGTGCCTTTACAATCAGTGACAATCTTTCTTATCAATGTTATATTAACAAAAATGTTCAAATAGCCAAAACCGGTTTGGCTCAGTGGATAGAGCGTCAGCCTGCAGACTGAAAGGTCCCAGGTTTGATTCCAGTCAAGGGCATGTATCTTGGTTGCGGGCATATCCCCAGTAGGGGGTGTGCAAGAGGCAGCTGATTGATGTTTCTCTCTCATGGATGTTTCTAACTCTTTATCCCTCTCCCTTCCTCTCTGTAAAAAAATCAATAAAATATCTATTTTTTAAAATGTTCAAATACATACACAGTAACAGAACGTTTAATTCAAGCCCTGTACTAGAATAACCTTGTAACAAAAGATAACTTCTTAAACAATGTTAAAATTTGATAAAACATATTTTGGGGCAGCAATATTTTTAAATTATAATTTTAAAATAATTTAAAATATACTTAAAAATTTAATTCAACTCAAACATTTTTTTAACACAAGCATTTTAGAGCTCCATAAAAAGCAGCTTGCAAACCATTGCATATTGGATTGCTATCATAAATTCACTGCTTAATCTCTGCTTAGTCCATCCTATATAATCCAATATAATAAAAGCATAATATGCAAATCGACTGAAGGGTAGAATGACAGGCACTTATGAGGTGCACTGACCACCAGGGGGGCAGACGCTCAATGCAGGAGCTGCCCCCTGGTGGTCAGTGTGCTCCCACAGGAGGAACACATTTAGCCAGAGCCACTCAGCTAGAAGCTGGGCTCACTTCTGGAGAGTGCAGGCAGAGGGGTCCCGGACTGTAAGCGGACTGTAAGGTGGCAGAGGCCGGGCTTAGGGGATCTCCCCATCTCACCCCCACTCCCCACCCCAGTGAAAGAATCTCCTGCACCGGGCCTCTAGTTTAAGATAAAATGAAGTAAAAACTGCTTTTGACAACCAAAATTATGTACATAAGAAACCCGATTAACCGAGGTAGACTATAACCACTAATCAATCCTTAGTCATAGCAATTCTATTCTGTTGGTTGCACCATACAAAATTGCTATTAACTGACAAATTTGACTAGAAAAAATGAGGTCCATATAGCTCAATCCAATATTTCCCATTTTATTTTCACAGTCTCTTCACTTATAAATCCATTAAAAAAAAAAAAAAGGTGTCAAAATAAGCAAAGTGGAAAAATGCAACAACCAGCAAACACGTACCACTGGAACTACTGAACATACTGGTACTAAGAATTTTTAAATGTTTAGTCCTTTAACTTATGGTGCAGAGTTTTAGTCACTCCAATAGCAATGATTGCTTAATAGCCTACTATAATAGGCCACCTTTTATTTATTGGAAAATAAGTGGACTGACAGTTACCTACCTTTCTTAATGTAGTTTAGCCCTCCACTTTAAAATATATCTAGTTGTTCCTGGAACTTCTTCAAGTAAAATGTGTAACACTTCAAAAATTCATTAACTTTTCCTTGATAAATGCAGGCATTTCCTCTTTTATTAGAAACCTTGTTGAATTACTTCATTGATAACAGAGCACGTTGGACTTAGTAGGAGCTACAGATTTGAGGACAGGTTTTTTTGTTTGTTTCCCTCTGAGGTTACTTCTCCATTCTTTTTACTGATGGCAAGTTACCAAATTATATTCAATATTTTAAGAAGTATCCTTATTTTGGAGGACAATAACTCAAAATTATAAAGATACTTCTAAGAATAAATGTGATTCTCATACAATATGCAATTCAATTTTCAGATACAGAGTTAAACCAAATTATTTCATATGAAGGTGAATCCAGTTCCTTTTGAAGATATCCCCAAATCAACACACTGCAACAAATGAAGCCACTTAGAGAAAGGCATCATGCCACATAGAAAGGTGACTCTTCCCCCATCATTAATGAGGATTATAACTGTAAAGAGTAATTTACACTGGGTGTGCATGAGTTTCATTCTTCTCAACAAAAAATTCAAAATGCTATGACTCACTTGGTTATTACTGAACACATTATTAAATAGAAAACAGGATAAATTTGGAGAATAACATTTTGAGAGTTGCAGATGAATTTTAGAGTTATATACTTTGTATCAAAAAGCAAACCATCTCTTTATTAGAAATAAACTCTTACCTGCTTTTAGAGTGATAAAGAATTTAAAATGCTAAATACTTGATATTTTTAAAGAGCACTTAAGAATACTACTCTTAAAAAGCTACTTATGTTGCCAAGTCATGTCATAACTGGCTCAAACAATTTCATTTCCATCTAAAGCTATTTCATGCTACTGCATGAATCAATATTAAATACCCCTTGGATTTGTTAACAACTGGAATATTGGCAGAGGTATGCATGGTAATTATAAACTATGAAAATGGTGAATATCCATTTTCCATCTACCCTTTTCCTTTAATAATGGCTAGAAATGAGGATGTTCTTTCTAGGTAAACAGAAATGATTTCCTAAAAGCTAAGAGAAAGACATAAAGAATGCTAACCAAATATGATGAATCCATAGCCATGGTTCTCACAAAAGAAAAAATATATATATTTTGTAGCCTAATATCACCTCCAAACATTTTATTAGCCTACCAAATTGAGAGAGCCACTTAAAAAAAAAAATCAAAATCAATATAGCTCTTTTCCTTCAGTTAAAAAAAAATACAACTTATTTTAACCAGGCTGGAGTGTAATCAAATGTGTATCAAACAACATTTTTTTTTCATGTTAAAGACATAACTTACCACTTTTAAAGTTAGGAAGTAATAATCATTATTTTTTAAAAAGTTAAGTTCAGAGGACATCTGGCCCTGAAGTGAAAGAGTTAACATTCAACTAAGCAGAGCTGCACTTCTGATCCATTACATTTCTCACAGGCTGCCCTACAATGAGCTGAACAAGTATCAACTGTAATTTGATCCCAGAGTTTATGGAAAAAAATAACTGCACATACTCAACACGAACATTGAATAAAAAAATCTGTTTCAAGAAAAACATACCCCATAAACTCAATCTAAGACATACTTTTTACTGTTCGATAACTTCAAATCTGCAATCTCTTTGCTTTCTTCATGCTCTCCAATAAAATGAATAAAATGGGGGGGGTTGAAGAGAGAAGCAGCAGCCCTACTGCACGGAAAAAGAGGCTTGAAAAACAACTTTGATTGGCACTTGGCCTGACCCACAGAGGAAGAAAAACAGTTTTTGGACAAAGAGCGCAAATATTTGAGCTTGCTTACTTATATGCTTTCTTTCTTTCCCTTTTTAATATATAAAGAGCTGAACTGAACTGTAGAGAAATTGACAAAAAAAAAAAAAAACCAACCCGTGCCCTATTCATCTCAGTCCTTGAGTCCCGACGCATTTGCACAACTCAGCAATTTTAATTCATTTGTACCGAGCACAAACAGAAGCACCTCAACTAATGTTTCCACTTAATGAAACGTAACATCAGAGTTTGGAGAAGAATAAATTGATTATCCTATTACCCAATGGCCAGTGTGAAAGTCTGATGAAAAGCTTTTCTCGGTTTCCAGCGACATGCCCCCCCCCCCCCGCTTCCTCTCTCCTCCCTCCTGCCCCCTTAAACGGAGCGATTCCGCCAAGAGGGCTAAACAATGCTGGAGTAAACTTTCTATCAGTCCCCTCGGAGCAGAAGCAATAAGCTGAGGGTGCATCTGATTTTTTTTTTTCTTTTTTCTGGACAAACGCGAGCGGGGGAGGGGTAGCTGAAAAAGGGATAACTCACGTTCACCCCAGTCTCCTCCCTCCCCCGCCCCATCCCTGCCCGAGGGGGAGCTGTGAGGTCGAGTCGCATTTCCCCATCCCATGGGCATAAAAGTTCAAGCTGCTTCACCCATCCTTTTCGCGATTTGACTTCTGGACACAAGACGACCATCGGAGAGAATGCAAGAAGAGGGTGTTTAGTTGGGAGAGCACGCCAAGGAAGGCAGAAAGGAACCGAGTAAACAAAAAACACCCGCAACCAAAGACAGCGACAGCGAAGAGGGAGGGAGGGAGCCAGGTTCCTCCAGACCCGACCTGACGGTTCCGATTTCACACCGGCCTCCCTCCATCCATCCACATGCACCGGAGGCAGGGGAATCGAACAGGTCCCCTCGCTCCCTGCGCCCCAGGAGCAGGCTGGTTAGGAAAGATGAGCCGAATGCACAGTGCACAGCACTCTCTTACCAAAATATAAAAAATAGAAATAAAAATAAATAAAAATCCCCAAACCTTCGGGACTGTCGCCCGCCGGGATTAAAAGCAGCAGCAGCAGCAGCAGCCTCCACCCTGCACCCTGCACCCTGCACCCACGCCCCCTCGCTGGGTCCCGGCGCGGGGAAGGTGCCCGGGATCCCTCTGAGCCTCCGCTACGGGGCAGTGCGCCCGGCCGCGCCGCCCGAGCCCAGGCGGCGGAGAGCGCCCCTCCGCGCCGCGCCGCGCCGGCCCCAGGCCGAGCCCGTACCTTCCGCAGCACTTTCCGGCAGTTGGTACAGATCAGGTAGTTGGTGGCGGCCGCCGGGCTGCCGCCGCCGCCGCCGCCGCCGCCCCGGTTCATCGCGGCGGTGGGCACCGAGGGCAGCGCGGGCGGGCGGCGGGCCGGGACGGGGCTGTCACTGCGGCCGCCTGCGCCGCTGCCGAGCCGGACACCGGCCGCCGGCCGCCGGCCGCGCTCCTCCGGCGGCGGGATACCGGGAGAGGAGGCGAAGAGCCTGGAGAGCAGGCGGCGCTGTCCGAGGCGACCGCGACCGCGGGCGGCTGCTGCCGAAGCGACGGCGGAGACGGCGGCGGCTGCTCCTCACCGGCCCGTTGTTCCAGCCGCCCCCATCCTCCGGACCCCCGCCCCCGCCAGGCTAGGACGAGCAGCCGCCACCGCTGCCGCCGCCGCCGCCGCCGCTGCTGCTGCAGCGCCTCAGTGCGGCCCCGCCCCCGCCGCCCCACCACCTTCACCACCTCCACGCTCGGGGACCGCCCCCTCCTGCCAATCGGACAGCTCCGGCCACGCCCCCGGGCGCTAGCCCTCCGCCTATGAGCGACGACAGCTCGGGTGGGAGCGGCGCCGGCCAATCACAGAGGCCGAGGAGGCCTTGAATCTCTGGGCAAGTTAAGTTCATCCCCGCGGCTCCGTACCGAAGGGAGAAGGCGGGTTCGTTAAGGCTGTGAGGTGGGCGGGGATACAGCGTGTGCTGCTCCGCCAATAGGAGAAAGAGGGTGTGTCGTATGCAAATAAACCCGGGAAGCCCAGCCCCTCCCCCCCGAAGCCAAGCCACGCCCCCCTTCTCTAGGTCTCTGCAGGAATCGGGGGAGAGAGAGAAATAGCTCGGAGCTAGCTAGAGCTTGCTAGTTGATCTAAAACTGAACTAAATATTTCCCGATTTCTTGAGAAAGGTTTGGAAGGTGGCGTGGGGGTGGGGAAACTAAAATTTTCATATCATCACGTCGGTGGGTAGGCTTTTTCTCTCAGCCCTAATGTTAGCTTTCGCTGTAAAGAAGACTGCAGTCACGTAGCGCTTTGCACCCGGGGAGCTCTAAGAACTTTATGCATCATTTATCGTGCAGAGAGTCTCGGTTTGCAAAAGACCGGTTTACCTGAGGCATGGGCGTACAGTAGGTAGGGGAATGCTTGAGGCATATTTCCACCCTTAATCAGTTAATTGGGGAGGAAGGACACAAAACCTCTGGTTTTCGCAGTCCTCCTCGGTAATGAAAGTTCCTTTATTTGTCTAGCACGAAAGGGGCAAAGAGACAGGTTTATTTTCTCACCCAAAAGTCCTTTCTAAAGCAGCTGGTCAAATACCGCAGAATGCACAACCTTGTTCCCCAAAGATTCAGAGAACACATTGCCTTTTAAAACTATGGGTCTGCACCGGCCTCTTGCACAGCTAAAAATGGTGAGTCAGGATTTTTTGCGTTCGCGCCCTGGAGAGAGGAGGCAGATGTAATTGGGGACCGGATGGGACAAGCCACTGGGAGAGTCAGTTCGCCCGAGGAGGCCAGCACTGCGCGTGCGGGTCGAATGCGGTTGCCGAGGCTAGACACCCCGAAACCTGTTCCCCCGTGAGAACAAAGGCAGGCGCCGAGCGAGAACCTGATTGGTGCCGGGTCCGCACCGGTGTGCTGGGGCCCCCGGAGACAACTTGTTTCCCCCGCTGACGCGGAGCTCTGTGCTCCGGCTCCCCGCCCGCCCGGCCTGGGCTGCAGCCATACAGGACGGTGCGTTATGACATCACCTGTTTTCCCTCTTTAGAACATGATCAGTATTCTCGGCTTCTCCTGTTTTAAAGGTCGCTAGTGTACGCAGATTTGTGAAGGCCTGCAGTTAGCCAGAATGAGTCTGTGATGATTGAAAAGAACCGTCTCACTGGTTTGCATTTCTTTCTTTTCTTTTTAATTAAAAATTAAAAAAACAAAACAAAAAACGACTACCCCGGTTTTCTTTGGGATTCAGTGTGGTGTTGTGATGCAAAATCAGAAAGGTACACTGGGAGGAGCTAGCAAGTTTAGCATATCAAAGCTATTAGACCAAACTATGTGGTTAAAACTGCCAATCTCCTTGTGTTTTTTTGTGTGTGTGTGTGTGTGTTTTTCAACAACTGCCTCCTCTCTGTCCTTTTTAGAGACCAAAAAGCATAAACCAAAGTCTACACAAGGAACAAAGGAAGTGGAAATCTGCCAGTGTTGGGTTTAAATAAGATTAAAATAGACTGGAAAACCCCCCAAAAAGTCTAAGTTATGTGGTTGGGTAAATGTGTTGATCCATTAAACTAGTGAGAGCTAAAAGTTTCTTAATGCTATGTAGACTAGAATATAGCCTAGAATAGCAATAGAGTGGACAAGTGCTTAAAATTCAGGTAGAAGAAACTGTAAAAGCAAGAAAGTTCAGCAATGGGAGAAATTACCACATACTTTCCAATGGTGGGAAAAACACATGCACAAGAAATTCAGGAAGAAAGTTACCAAGGCCCAGTTTTCCCAGAACTAAAATATGTATGTGTCTCAATTTAGTGGTAAATTTCTTGGACTATATTCCTAACTGGTTCTATCTTATAAAGCAGATTTTATGTGGATACATTTTAAAGGAAAGAAGAAATGGAAAGATTAAGTCAATATTTGTGCAGAGATCGAAATTCCTCAAATAGCACATTAGCTTCTGATTATTTTATTTTTTGTTTGTTTTAGAAATAAACACTTCACAAGCCTTATTGATTGATTGACTTTTGGAGACAGAAAGAGAGAGAGAGAAAGAGAGACAGAGAGAGAGAGAGAAAGAGGGAGGGGGAGAGAGAGAGAGAGAGAGAGAGAGAGAGAGAGAGAGAGAGAGAAACATCAATGTGTTGTTCCACTTATTTATGTATTCATTAGTTGATTCTTATATGTGCCCTGACCAGGGATGGAATCTGCAACCTTGGCATATCAGGAAGATGCTCTAACCAACTGAGCCCAAATTATTTTCTATCATATTCTTTTTATAACATTTTTTTTTTTTACTTAATAGATATAATTCTTTAACAATGAAGCCCATTAAGTTCTTCAGTAACTAAATTTTGCAGAAAGAATGGCAGGAGAGTTTATCACTACACAATTATTCTCTCTAACAAGATTGTTAAAGGGAAGTTTTAAAGAAATATCGTCACTAATACATGGCCAGATACATGTATGTGACCTAATGATGGCTCTCTCCACCAAACTTCCCCCAAAACATTAATAGCCTGTAATGCCATTTATTGACAGTTAACCATGTACTGTATGTATTGTGGCATTTCTTATGTTGAACTGTTACATGTGTTCCACTCCTGAAGTTTTCAATCTAGTAACTCATTCTCAGCGCACAGCAGCCACTCTTCTGGTTCTCACACCCCCAGGCCCACCACACCTTCTTCTCCACTCTATGGTAATTTTCAGCATCTGGACCCTTTCTGTCTCATCCATTCCTCACCTGGTCTCCCTTCTGTTCTTAGCTAGCCTGGCTATCATCAAGAGAGTGGGACTTAGAAAATAAGCGATTTGCAAATAAATCCTAGATCACACTTGTCTAACCAACTCAAAAAGAGTCTGGGGCTTAGCTAGAAATAACTGATAAAGATTTATTAAAAATTCTGAGTTTGTAAACTGGAAACACAATCAGGCAATAGCCAGAGTTCTCCAGAGGAGAAAGAAAAGCTTCGGTTCTTATAGCAAAAAGTACATTCTTGAGAAGAATCAGTCCTGCCATCTTAGCCTCTGGATTGGGGGGAAATGGCAATCCTCTCAATGGCTCGTGGTCTGGACGCTGGACATCAAGGGGGCTGGGCACATGAGCATTCTTTCTTTAGTCCTTCAGGTCATAATCAGAGGGTCATCTGGAGGCTTGATATAAATATTCAAACATTGACACAGCACAAGAAAGTTAAAAACTATTTAAGTTTCCAGGCTGGTTAGAACAATAATAGATTGTTTCCTCAACCTACTTGATTTTAGTAAATCAGCAGTATGGCTATATTACTCTCTTTTATTTATTTACTCTATTCCTCATTTTCCCCTTTGGTCAGGATTTTCCTCTCAGAAAGCATCATAGATCCAACAAGACATTGAAGTCTTCTGATGCCAAAGTGACTTCCTTACGTTTATCAGAGGGGCTGTATGGATTATAGACATGCTTGCTGTATATGAATTTATAGTCAGCTCAATAATTTAGTTTGAGTTATTGGGAAAGGACCAATGGAGACATTATGATTACATATCAGTTTTAGGAACCAGTCTCAGTCTTGAGAATAGGTCAGTTCAATTAAACAGCTGTCTCTCATCTCAGGAGTCAACGATGCAGGTGGCTCCCAAAATTAGGCCTACGGTGCAAGCAATCAGGTATTTAATAAGAGGCATCTCTATAAAAACAAAAGGAAAACAATGTTTGATTTAAGCACACTATAATTCTGCTTCCTGAGTGTTAAAGGTAGCTAGTTGAGAAGATTTTGAGATGTCTAGCTTGAAGCATCTTCAGATGCAGTAAAGGCAGGTAGTGGCAATCTGATAGATTCTCCTGGTTTACAGTTTGTATGGCCCTGGTGTTTTTTCTGCAAAAGGCAAAAAATCATCTCTATATGAAAAGTTTATATTAAGTTGTCCCATTTTAGCTTGCATCATGTTGGAAAAGGGGCACTTTTACACTGAGTGGCCAGATTATTATGATCTCTGAATGCATAATAATCTGGCCACTCAGTTTATATCCTATATAATATAAGGCTAATATGCAAATTGTCCCTTGACCAGGAGTTCAACCAGCAGGCAGGCTAGCCAACCGTCCATGTCCCCTCCCACTGGCCAGGCTGGCCAGACCCCACCCATGCACGAATACAAGCACCAGGCCTCTAATACATACACACACACACACACACACACACACACACTCTGAGTGGCCAGATTATTATGCATTCAGAGATCATAATAATATGGCCACTGAGTGTAGTTCTCAATGATTCCATATCAGAAGGGTGAGAGAAAAACTGGAAATATAATTTGGAGAATAAGCAAGATGTTGGGAGAAACTAGAAGAATTCAAGATCCAGTCCAGTTTATGGGTAG